TATAGTCCAGATCTTAATCCAATTGAAAATGTTTGGGCTATTTTAAAAAGAAAAGTTGAGATAAAGATTAAGAAAATAGTGACACAGAAAAAAAAATATCAATTGAAATTTTTTATAATATAATTTAAGAAGAATGAGATGATTTTGACGATGATATAATAGTTAACTACATCAATAGTATGCCAAATCAAATTATAGTATGCATTGATGCAGAAGGAATGCATACTAAATACTAATTAATTAATAAAAGTTGCAACTATAATATTCATATTTTATTTAAAAAAATTTTAATAGATTTATTAATAAATCACATGTATTAAGTTATAAAAATTGACCGCTATTACTTTTGGCAGGGACTGTACATACTGAGCTCAAGTTCTTTTATTATTATGAGCATAAAGACAAAATTTATATTTTTGGGCATCAGTAAATGTAATTTTCTTTGGAGGCATATTGCATGAATATAAGGTTTATTAATTAAGAATGCTGTGTATTTATATTTGTAAATGGGTAAATTTTTATAATATACAAAAGTTTAATATCTGCAAGTATCAAGTGTTACAAATTCTATATACTGTAAATTTACATGTCGTAAGTTTTATATGTCACAAGTCTTGCATGTCACAAGTTTTGCAATGCTATATTTACTGCTAATATTAAAGTAAGTTTATTATAATAGGCCTTCTAGTATTATAATTTAATTCAATTTATTTATAACTTTTTTATTTTATTTTAGATTGTTATATATATAAATTTATAACATTAATAAAACATTGATATTTTTTTATATATCAAAATAATTCTTTATTTACAATACTGTATTTAAAATTTATTTATATTATATAAAAACTAATTATTCTATATCTTTGGTGATTATGATAGTGTCAAAGTTAATCATCCTAATTTTTCAGTATCTACATAAAGATAAGTAATAGTAATTAGTTAATTCTTTTTAAAGAATATTTAATATTAAAAATTCTTTTTTATAAGATTCACCTCTGAACGATCCAATGCTTAAGAACCCAGTAGTTACAAGAAGGTAAGTAATTTAATGTTAGATTTTTTAATTGATTAAAAATAAAAAATATTAAATATTTTTTCATAGCACTCACTTTCGAACGATTCAATACTTAAGAATCCAATAGCTACAAGAAGATAAGTAATTAATTATTAGTATAATTGATTAATTAAAAAAAATTAATATTAAATATAAAATATATTTTTTTTTTATAGACTTATCTCTGAATGATCCAAACCTTGAAAAATCCAGTAACTACAAATAGATAAGTAATTAATTGTTAATATAATTAATCGATTAAAATAAAATTAATATTAAAAATTATTTTTCATAGACTTACCTCCAAACAATTCATGTTTTGAAAAATCCAGTAACTATAAATAGGTAAGTGATTTAATTGTTAGTATAATTGATCGATTAAAAAAAATTAATATTAAATATAAAAAATATTTTTTTTTCATAGACTTACCTCTGAACAATCCAAGCCTTAAAGAATCTGGTAGCTACAAGTAGGTAAATGATTTAATTGTTAGTATAATTGATCAATTAAAATAAAATTAATATTAAAAATTACTTTTCACAGATTTACCTCTAAACGATCCATGTCTTAAAGAATCTGGTAACTACAATTAGGTAAGTAATTTAATTGTTTAATTGATTGATAAAAAAAATAAAAAATAAAAAATATTTTTTTTTAGAACTTACCTTTGAACGATCTAATGCTTGAAGAATCTGGTAGTTACATGAAGGTAAGTAATTTAATTATTTATTTGATTAATTAAAAAAAAAATATAAAAATATAAAAAATATCATAGGACTTACCTCTGAACGATTAATGCTTGAAGAATTCAGTAGCTATAAAAGGTAAGTGATTTTAGTTGTTAGTTACATTGATTAATTTAAAAAATAAAATTAAAAAATTTTTTTTTCACATCAATCAACGCATCCTATTATTTTATAAAATAGTCACGTGAAATGTGTTTAGAGATCAGATTATCATATCAAAGGACTGAAAAATTTTTTGCACATGCAGAACTTGGAGGATGCATTTAGCCTCTAAGTTCCAAGCTTGGGATCAGAACATTGTATGTATTTAAAGAGAGTATGCATTTATAGAGGATGCATTTAGAGAGGTCTGATTGTATTATTTTTTGATTAATTTTATTATTTTTTAATTTGATAGAAATTATTGTAAATTAAGTGAATTAAGTTATAATAACATAAATTTTTTATTTTTAATTATATAAATAAATAATAGATAATCATATAACTGCAATAAGATATCATAATTATATAACAAAAATTTATAAATTAAATTTATAATCCTCTATATTTTAAATAGATAGAACTTTAGATAATTTAATAATTTTGATTTTATTATCTTATTCAAATTTATTAATTTATTACCTAATCATAAAATACTTAAAGGAAAAATTTTAATAAATGTATTAAAATAAATCTTGTTGTCACTGTAGAAATCTTTAACTTAGGTTAGTTATATCTTTAAGTCTCTATTTAAGATTACTAACTGCGATTTACTGCAGTTAAGATGTTAAGATTTGTTTAACTCTTAATTTTACTAAATCTATGCATTAAACTTAAACAAATCTATCAAGTATAGATGAGATTATGAACAATTTAATTAAAAAATTCAGATGATGAACTCAATTATAAATAATATCAGACTATATAAAGACATGAAGAGGTAGAAAGATATAAGTTTTGAAAGATTCTTTTATTAAAATTTATAAGTTTATAAATTTGCAAAGAGTTTTCAATCTGCAAAAGAGTTAATTTGATTTGCAAAAGAGTTAATTTATAATATAGGTAAAAAGTCTATCTATTTATATAAAATTTCTTTATTATGACTATTTATTTATTATATTATAAATTAACTAATTTGATAAATAAAATATAAGTAAATAAGTATATTAAAAATAACAAAAATACGTAAAATAATAAAAATATAAAATATAATAAAAATAATAATGAAAGATAGAATATTAAAAATAAATATAATATTGAATATTTTTAGATTTCATTTAACTCATAAAATTAGGATTATTATCAATATTTAGATTAGAATTCACAGAATTCTTAGTATTTTCAATATAATTAAAGTTCTATTTATGTATAAATATTATATAAATTTTTATATATAATTTATATATAAATAATATATATTATATGAAGGCATATCAAAAATCTCAGTTATCTGTATAATTTTATTAGATTATTTTTTGGTTGCTATGTAAATGGCTTGTAGAGTATAATCTTAGTAATCTACAATTTACATAACTTTTATTAAATGTAAAATTCATTAAAAACTAATTATAAAAGAATATTATGAGTATAAAAACTTTATTTTTAAAGCAATTTAGTGGAAAAAAAGTATTTAAACTATTTAAACTGTAATTTAAATATTTATATCTTTGCTTTTATTAATTTGCTTTTATCAAAAAGATATTTGATTAATTTTTACTTCTAATTTAGATAAAATATCCTGAACTTCTTCTACTTCCTTATTTTTCTTCTCTTCATTTTCTTCTCTAATTTTATTATCTTTAAAATCCTTTAATATTTGCACTATTTTTAATTCATTTTAAAAATAAATTAATATTTTCAAAAATTTCTCTTTTGTAAAATTCTTCGTAATAAATATACTTTCTATTTTAACATGTTAAATGGTAACTATAGTTATAAATAAATATTATCCTATCATTTTTACTAAATGGAGATTTACAAGAATCATATAAGTTAGGCTGTAGTAGGCACTATGTACTATAAGCTATCAGTAAATATTGTAAATTTATATTTTCTCCTAAAGTAGCAAAGTGGTAAATTTCTGAATTTCATTTTTTTTTTTGTTTTATCAAGTTTAGGTCTACTTTTTTTTACAATTATGATACAAATTTTGAAAATATTATAATAAAAAAGACTTGTTTTTTTTATCTAAAAAATCAAACATTAGTTTATTATATGGATATTACTATATTATATAATAATTATCTTTAAATGCGAAATTATGATTTATTACATAATAAGTAAAAATTAATGAAGTTTATGAATATAATAAAATTTTTAAGATAACTTACAAATAACATAGGCTTATTTTATAATATTATCAGTTATTGCATTTGAAGAGATATTGTATTATCTTTAATTTGATTATGGGTTTTTCCAATATAATATTCATTAAAATTAGATAATTGCATTTGAATTACATCAAAAAAAGAATAATTAATGTCTTTCAAATAGAACAAATCTGATAAAAAAATAAAGATACTTTATTGTAATTTTTATTTATATCTGAAAGATTTTTTTTACATATTTATCAAATAAATCTGATCAGAATAAACTTATATATATATTAAGCATCACTGAAATCAAATTATCAAGCAAATCTATTATAATATGATACTCATAACATTTTTATAAGTTTAGTCAAATTTTCTTAGAATTTTATCAGAATTTTAATCTAACCATTTTTGGTAAGTTCTAAAATAAGATTTATTCTTTAAGAATGAGGTTTTTTTTGCATTTACAAATATAAAATGAAACAATTTTTCAAAAAAATAATGTATTAATAATACTTGTTCTCTATTGATTAAAGACATATAAAGAGGTTTTAATATTGGTAAAAATGACTCAATTTCTTATGATGGTATTTTTGTATATAACATTTTTCTGATAAATAACTGATCAAACCAATCAGCAACAATTGGCACAACATATCTATCTAAATGATGTGTTTTGCTATTAATAGATAAGATAAGCTTTAAGGCATTCATATAATCTACTGAGTGTAAATATTGTTCTTTAAATCTAACTAATTGAAGTCTTTCTATTGATTGTTCTTTTTTTGTATTTTTAGATTATCATTATAATTATGTACTATTAATACTCCAATTCAGTCAAATTCATTAATTAAATATCTTTGCAAAGTTTAAAGTAACTTTCATTCTAAATTTAAAATATCAAATATTTTAGTATAATAGTTAATAAGATACTAATAAATTTTTAATGTATCAATATTTATTAAATTGTGAATAAATTTTTCATTATGTATAAGTAGAACAAATTGGATTTCTAAAATAGGTTTCGTTATATATATAGCAAAGTGTTTGGCATTTAATGTTAAAATTGTATCTGATCTTCAAATTTATAAATTGCATGATAATTATCTATATTATATATATGAAAATAGTTTTTCTGATAAAAAAAGTAATTTTAATATAAAAATTTAAAAATTTAAAAAAAATTTATTATAATTTACATTTTTTATAAAATGTTCTTCAGTTTTTTTTATATGTTTATTATAAATTTTTTTGAAAATTTTTTACCATTTTAGCATATGTAGAGTATCTAAATTTTGATATTATGTTAATAGCATTCCATGTTGTATCTGATGCCATCAGATACAAATTAACTTCTAATTTATATTGGTTTACAAATTTATTCTTTAAACCTATCATCATATAATATAACTCTACAATTGATTTTTTAGACTCATTTATATTATGAGCAGAGTATTCTTTAGAAATAATTGAATTAATCATAAATTTAAAGAAACCCTTAAGTTGAGGATCTGCATTTTTAATTATATTCTTAAATCTTATTAAATCTAACTCTAGATTTGCAGATTTTTTACATTATTAGTAATATAATACTTTTGTTAATACTTTTATATTTGAAGCAAATGTTGAATCTTATATCAAACTTTAAGTTAGTAAAATTTTTTTATAAATAAATTACATATACTTAAAGAAATAATTTAATTATCTATATTATGATTTAATATAGGATCTGCTGATCTTTTTCTTTGAATATATTTATTTTCTTATTCATATTTTCATTTTTAAACAAGGCTGACATTTTCTACTAATTTGCAATAATATGAATGATAAAGCTGTCATCTGACTTTAAAATAAGAATATAATAGTAATGTTTGATTTTTAAGACATTTTTCATATGTAAGTTCTATTATTACACAAAATCTAACATTAATGTCTACATAATTAATAATAGAATATGGTCCAAAGTTTTTAGTTTTTATTTTGTAAGAATAATTCTTTATTTTATGTGTTACAAAATTCACTATAGTGATCTTTGAAAATTAATCAGCAGTAATAGCCAATAAAAGAGAACTTCAGTTATGCTGAATTCTGGATTAAGAGATTGTTATACTGCGTCATCTATGTGACTATATTATTATTGATCAATTGCTCTGTGACATTGCAAAAAATATAAAATAAAGCACAAGTAATATTCATAGAGTTATTGTTTCTTTAGATAGATAAACTAATATTGTAAATCAAAATATATTAAGAAGTATTTTAATAACTAGTTCTAAAAAAGTTCTGGTCTAAAAAACACAAGATATAAATGAAGAAAGAAGTAGAACTTCTGAAGTTAAGGAAAAGATTATAGAAATTGTAAATAATATTAAAAAAAAAAATATTAAAATTTCAGAAGTTGTAACAAATAGTCATGTATAGTCTAGTCATCCTATGTAAGCATACCCTCTCTTTAGTCATACCAGTGTTTGGTCCAAATTTTTAATTAATAAAATACCCTCTTTGTAATCATAAATCAAGTATAATCACTATCACAGCAATCGTTAGTCCCAATACAATAGTTAACATATGAAAATTTCCTGTTTATAGTCCTATTACGTGATTAAACATGTGTATTTAGAAAATATACCGCACACCTTGATCACTATTTATAGTTTAAAACTATAGTGCAAGCCAAGGGAACTCAAGAGATTGAAGAAAGTGAAGGCAATGATAAAAATAAAGAAGTACCACCAGTATCAGTAAAGAAAGCAGTTGATGTATTAAAAACTTTTGTCAATTTTTTTGAATGGAATTATTCTGAATTTGATGTTGATGGTTTGTGCATTTTTAGAATAGTTAGAGTTAAATTTAAAAAAGTGGAGTATACTTGGTCTGTTTTATAATAATTGTAGAGTATAATATAATAATTTTAATTTTTGTCAGTTAGCATAATATAATTTATTTTATAAGTAATAAAATTAGATTGGATACGGAGTAAAATGATATATGTATATATAAAATCATATATAATCAAGCTAATTCTAAATTATATAGATATGTACGACTGTATTCCATGTAAATTGAACAATTAACTTCTTCCGCAGTTGGTCTCTCTAAAGGATCATCATGCTAACAGCATTTAATTAATGTTTCAAGGAATAGTGGTATGCCTGATAAAATAGGCGGCCTTTCCCTGCACAAATGCCCAAAATTAAATAATTATCATGTGGTTTATCATGGAATGGCGGATAACCAGCTAATATTTCCCACATCAACATTCCTAAACTATAGACATCTGATTTTTCAGTATAGTCGCCTATTCCTGAAAGCACTTCTGATGCTACATATGGCATAATTTCATAAACTTTCTCTGATAATTTATCTTCAGTTGAACCGTTTAATCTAATATATGCTTCACCTGAATAGAATATTAGAATATTGCCACTATGTAAATCTCTATGTATTAAGTTGTTTTCATGGATTCGAGCAAACGAACCACTTATTTGACTAATAAGGTTAATTTTTTCCTTTAAGTCTTGCCATAGACTATTCCTTTCAAAATTTTTCATTTTCAAATAATCTAAATAAACTCTCAGATTCCCTCCTCTCATAAACTTCACTACTATCATATAATCATCATTTTCTGGAATTTTGGTTATACCAAAACAATCAATAATGAGCGCATCAGTTATTCTATGATAATCTTTAACCTGGATTATATTTAGAAGTAAGATATTATTGATAAATCGAACAAATATTTTAGGTTAATAAAAATTACCTTATTTAAAAAGTCAGTTCCGAGTTCGCCTGAATTCTTTAAGGACTTTAATATAACATTTTGAGTTCCGAGCCTAATAAATTCTCTTGTATTCTCGTCCCAATCATTAATATATCCCTTATTCCACTTTGCACTATATACTTTACTGAATCTACCCTCAGATAAATTGAATACATTATAAAGATCATCGAATGGTATCTACTCAATGATTTTTCTTGGTATGGGAAATTCCAATTGGCATTGTTGAATAAAATCATCAATGATTTTGTTTCCTGACGTCCAGTTTTCAAATTTGCCCTTAAGTTTTTCTCTTATGCAATTCTTACAATATCTTGAATGCTTGATGGAACCACATTTTAAACATTTCGTTGTTTCACTAATTTTATAATTTGTATTAAATAGTTCAATACTATTATTAAAAAACCTTTGCATATATTTTTTATCTTGCTCATCAAGCCGATCCTTTTTTGACAAGAGCATCGAAAAATTGTTGCCAAAGTTTCAATATCAGATGAAATCACGTTAGCGTTGTTGAGTAGTTCAGCGTAAACTTTATTTATATAATTTTTACGTAGTCCCTCGATTTTAGAATCACCTTTAAGATTGACGTTAATTAGCCGATGGAATTTTATCACCAAAAAAGAAGAAATAAAAAAAAAATGAAATAAAAATATTTACCCAAGGATTTGGTTACGTTGATTAAAAGTTTGAGCACATCTTGATCTTCGTCCATCCTGAATCAGATACCCTACAAAAAGTTTTGCTCGATTGATCAATTGATTGAAAGAGTTTTTCCCTTTAAAGAAAGGAAAGTTGGTTTTAAAGTTTATTTTCGTATTGAAAAGAGTATGGTATACATGAACAATTGTTTCTGGACCCATAAATATATGGATTAATGAATGGATCTTCTTTATTACACAAATATAAATTTACATTTTACTGCTTTTATCGTACAAATATAAACAATAATTTAATTCAAGTTCTTTTTTGAATGATATTTGTAATGAGAAACCTCAAGTAAACAAATTCTGGATAAAAAACATTTATGCATTGTTTTCATTAAAATTCCTTACTGTGATCTCAAACATGTACGCAAAAAAAAAAAAGAGATTTCCAAAATGGAAGTAATACGGTATAAATAAAAATAAGGAACTCCTAGTCCGGAATGCCTAAAAATGCTGTAGGTTCATAACCAATTAAATGTCAGAGTACGTCCACGAATTCACAAAGAAAATCGTGACACAGTTACATAAAGTCGTGCATCAAAAAGAATTAATAAGTGGGGGAGCTCAAGACATTTAAGTCATACTGCGTAAAATTTAATAGTCCTTCGGACTAATCATGGTAGATATTATTGAAGTATTTCATCCGCTATTTGATACATCATTTAAAATACTGGAAGAAGCCTATCAAATCTACCAAAATGCAAAATATAATAAAAAAATATGTTTAATCTTATACGATAGGTTAGAAAGTGGCACACAAGCTTTGAAAGTCCTAAAAAGACATCAGGATGAAAATTTAGAAAAGTTTATGGATGAAAATTTTTACAAGAGTTTTCTACGTTATCTAGGAATTGCCACCGAGATTAAAAATCTTATCAAAGAAGCAGCAGAGGTTGGCGGTGCGATGAAATATATAAGAGCGAATTCTTTGAAAGGAAAAATCGATACACTTATAAAAAGGTATGATGAAGCTTGCGGGGATTTAAATTCGGCAATCAGTATAAATAATTTCCAATCACTCGATTATATCAAGAAATCCATTGAATCTGACAATATAAAAACAAAAAAGGTATTAAAAGTGATCCCTTAAGTTGGGAATAATATTAAAAACTATCGCTGACCATGATATATATACACAATATCCAGCTGTTAAAAACAATTAAGGGCGGTACATTGGTGTCAGATATGGCCCAAAAATTCCATAAAGACCAGAGTGATTTAAATGATTTCACGTACAAAAAAATCGAAGCAAGTCAATTAACGGGTGAAGAAATGACACGCGAGAAAGTTTTTAAGAGATCTTTGAACCGAACTCAACCGGTCGCATGTGTCCCGTACAATGAATCCGATTGGAAGAAAAATCATCTTAGAGCGCATTTAGCGATTCTAAGTAAATTATATCCATCGAACAATATGATAAGGTTCCATGGAACTTCTTGTGTGGACGGAAAGGATGTGATGGTGTTTGATTGGGCTGATTTGGGGGATCTGAAAACAGTTTATAGCAGATTTACTATTCCATGGAATGATAAATTAAAGATTGCACATGATATTTGTAACGGACTTGTGTTTTTACATGCATGTTCAATATTTCATCACGATGTTAGATGTAAAAATGTCCTGGTGAGTATAAAATTTGCAAACAAATTTTAAAAACAAAGCTAACATATTTTTTTTAAAAAATAAAGATTATGGGACCAGATTTTACAAATGCAAAACTTGCAAACTTTGATCTAAGTAGGGAACATAAGCAAAGAAGTAGTAATGAAATTGAATTTGTAGGCGAAATCCTGCCTTGGCTGGCACTAGAGAAGTTGAGGGATTATGATGACTGTAGAAATGTTAGATATACACACAAATGTGAAGTATACAGGTATTCATCGCCTACAACTTATTTTCGAAAATATATGATATTAATAAACTTAATTTATTTGTAGTTTTGGTATGTTTCTCTGGGAACTTGCTTTTCAAGAAGTACCTTATGAAAAGCGTGTCGGTAAACGTTATGCTGAAATTAAAAATCATGTCTTAAGCGGTAAACGTGAAAAATTTGATTATGTACACGATCATTTACCACCGCTTGATATTCGATTTTGTTTTGAGTGGATAATAAAATCAGGTATTTGTATACGAATTGATTCAACGACACACGATGCTTTCTTTACTTTATTTTCTATTCATAGAAAATTTTTCTTTTCCGAAATAGCGTGGCGTCAAACACCCTCGGAACGTCCAAATATGACCGATATACTCTCAAGACTATATGATTTATATAGTAAATACTTTCCGGAGCTTAATTCGCAAGATAACTTTTTGCTAGATCTGAATCAACCACGGGATGGTTGCAATATTGAAATCGAGAATGAGCATTTCGATGACCTTGACACCAACGAAATACCAATGGAAGGGAAGTTTGAACCAATACCATCTCTGGAAGAAGGCATAAAATTCCATAGACAAGAGTTAAAAGAAAAAGCATGGAGATGTTTTGAATATCATGCAAATATAGGCGATGACATGGCAAAATATTGGAAAGCTTATTATTTGCATGAAGGACATGCTGTAGAAAAAAATATTGAAGAGGCAACAAAATTGTTCAAAGAGGCGGCCGATAATGATATTTCTGAAGCACAACTACGTTATGCATTTATTTTATTTGGTAAAAGTAAGGAGGAATCATTTGATCCAAAAGAGCCATTAAGTTACCTGATTAGAGCTGCTGGGGGCGGTAATTCTGTGGCGATGTATCATTTAGGCGATATTTATTTGAATGGTAAATTGGGCGAGACGAGAAATGAAGAGAGAGCATACCGTCATTTTAAATCGTCTGCAGTGAAGGGTTATGAAAAAGCAATCCGAAAGCTTGAAAATTTACAATTGAATTTGTATGATTAAGGTTTTCAAAATTAATTCCCTAATTTTTCAGGATTTTTAATACATATATAACAAGTATACTATTTATTATCATTGTATTTGATTTATTTCTTTGGATTTTTAAGTCGCTTTTTTCCTTCTAAAGGTGATTTTTTTCGCTCTGAATTGTTCGCGATGTACCTTTTTATAAAGAAACATAATTACTTATAGTGCGTATATAAAGTTTCGTTATTTTCTATTTTCCAATCTAAACCTTCCTAAATCTTTAATAATAAAACGAAATCAAACCATTTATTAGGTCGATCAAATTGGATAACCTAAAATTACCAATACGGTAGCCACGTGGTATGAGACAGTTGCATAATCGGAAATCCGAGAAACAATTACGATGGCATATAATCAACTTTATAATTTTATTAATAAAATTGTGTTTTACGTTGTTTCGTGCCTAAATATTGGGAACCTCTAAATCAGTTAGACCGGAGTCTTATAGGGAGAGAAATTTCAAATTAATAAAATGTGTCATCATCATTGAAAGTAATAATCAAAATATGCAAATTTTTAAAAAAATAATCAACAATTCAAAAAGTCTACCCATGAAAAATGGCTTTGAATTTCTTGATTTAGGAAGTCCTTTGTATTCTAATTGACTGCTAAAGTAAACAGCTTTTGGGTGAATCTCTGTTGGTTCGGATAGTTCAACTGGAACCTTGTCTGCATCTTCAAATGTTTTTTTAATGTATTCACTTAAAAACCGTTTTTCAGCCGCGTAACGTATATAATTGCCCTTACTAAATGCTCTGTCACAAAAATCCAGAAACTTCACAAGTGTACTCGCTGTCGGGCGCCTTAATGGATTGCCACTAAGACACTCCTTAGCCAGATTAATATAGAATTGCGGCGTTCCTTTTCCAATATCCGGTCTTAATCCATCGCATATTTTAATAGCTAAATCCTTATCATGTGATCTATCGTGAAATGCAAGCTTACCAGTCGCCAATTCTGTCATTATAATACCAAAACTATAAATGTCAGCAGCCGGCGAAAATGGTTCGCCATCCAGAATTTCGGGCGCAATGTAAGACAAAATTCCGTAAAGTTTACTGTTTAAACGGTCATTATTCGATAGTCCAAAATCCGAAATGCACGGATAATCATTTCTGCTTCTGAACAAAATATTACCACCATGTAAATCACGATGCGTATACCCTTCACTATGAATGCTATCTAGGCCAGATGCCAAAAACCACAACAATTCTATCTTTTCTTTCCATCCGTAATTTTTAAAAGTGGTTTCAAGTTTGCTTCTAAAATCTCCACCATCTAGATATTCCATAACCATCATGTAGTCTTTGGTTTCCGGATCTTTTGTGATACCATATAAGCGTACAATTTGCTGCCGTCCTGTGCCTTCTATGGTTGTTGATGTTGTTGATTGACAAATATAATTTGTCCTGATCTAGGTTTTGATAAGAACTATGAGAATATTTTATGGTATTTATTTTAACAATAATCAATTATCAGTTTACCTCTTTAAAAAATTCACTTGGTAAGAATTGTGCACCTTTTAGCTGCTTTACTGCTACTAAACATGGTCGTCGTTTCTTCTCAAGAAATTCCCAATCTCTATTACCATCCAACCATTCAGCGGAATAAACAACACCAAAACCTCCTTCTCCAATTTTCTTGAAGTTAGCAAGTCTATTATGAGGAATCCATTCAAGGAAAGGATCATGCCAATTACTTGCGGAGCGTATGGTTTCCTTAATAAGATCGTCAATTACTTTATTACCGCTTGACCAGCCTTGAGTATATATCTCTGGATCACATAATTTACACCAGGTATTGCTTCTACTTGTTTGACCACAGTTTATACAAACGCCGCCTGAATTCATTTGACTATTTTTTGCTTTTATAGAACTTTTTTGTTCATTCAACGACAAATTCTCCAGTGTCATAATTTCTATTTAAAAAAAAATGAATGAATGAATGGAATTGTTATAAATATATCATAGTTGCTATATTTACCTTCAACTTCATCATCATTCTTTTCCGGATTCTTTCCTTTATTTGTATCTTTTAAAAAATAATTAGTAACAAAATCAACAATAATAGAAACTTTTTAGTTAATATTCACCTTTTTTTGAATTGACGCCTTCAGTTGGTAAAGTAATATCAAGGCCAGTAACATCATCTAATATTCTGCTTATGTGATATGCCAATGGATGTCTCTCTCGCCTCGGCTGCGAATTATTGCTATTACTACCGATATACGGATTTATATAGAGATAGTAGAGCTGTTCAATATTTGGTCTTTTAGATGGGTCGCCATCCCAACATCTTTGCATAATCCATGCATGATCATCCGGCAAATTTGGCAAAATAGGCGGTCTCAACCCTTTTTCACATATATCTACAACCAAATTAAAGTCATGTGCCCTATCATCAAATGGTGGATAGCCGGAAAATATCTCCCACATCAACATTCCGATACTATAAATATCCGATTCTTTTGTCTTCTTGGTCGACTTTCGAAGTACCTCAGGTGCAATGTACGGTATGATTCCGTATACTTTGTTAAATGATTTATCGTCAACTGGCCCACATAATCCGAGATCTGTGACAATACAACATTTTCTTTGTACCAATATATTTCCGCTATGTAAATCACCATGTACTAGATTTTTTTTGTGTATAGCAATTACTGATTCGCATAACCTTAGAAACATTGAATTTCTTTCATCTAAATTTAAATTTGGATTCTTTTTTAAATAATCTCTTAAATTTCCTTCTTTAATATGTGCTAACACCATTGCATAATTTCCATTATGTGGAAGTTTTGTCATGCCATAGAATGGGATATTTCTGACTTTACAGAGATTCAATGCCTAAATTCATGTAAAAAAAATAAATAAATGAATTGATTAACTAACCATGAAAACACGTATATTTTCACATTATAACAATAACCGTGATATGATGAGGATACTATTTTTATTGTTACACTAACAAACCTGATCAAAAAATTTAGATCCCAATTCATTAGAAGAATTATTTAATGATTTTAACAACACTTCCCGAATTCCAACGTAAGTAACTTCTCTTGTTTTTTCATTATAATCTTCGATCCACCCTCTTTTCCATGTAGCAATGTAAATTGTACTAAATCCACCACTTGTTAAGGTTCGTACGTCGGTAAATTGTTCAAATGGAATCCATTCCATAATGAAACATGGTAACGATGAGATCTTTTGACATCGTCGGATAAATTCATCAACAATTTTATTCCCCGATGTCCAACTTTCATGAAGACCTTGTAAATACAATCCTATACAATTTTCACAAAATCTATCCGAATATCTTATAGAGTTACATTTATTACATTTTACTGGTATACCGATTTTATAAAGTGTATTGTCAAATTCAAAAATATAGATGAATTTTTCTTTGCAAAATATTTTTTCACCTTCCAAGAGACTTTTTTCCTCATCCACTAGGCTACCAAAGAGATCTTTATGATTGTTTCTAGGCGCATTTGCCACAACATAACGGTATTTTTCATAAAAAATTTTCAATACAAACTCGTGTCTGTCATGTGATACTAATTCATCAAATTTCTTTCAAAGAAAAACTTTTACTATTATTTACTATTATGAATTTACTTATTCTGTGAATAGGGAAATTCATATGAAAGATCAATCATTCACTCCTTTCCTCTTTTATAAGCCGGGTTGAAATTTTGTGATAGCTAACACAAATTAATTGATACCTCTAATTTACTTTTAATTTAAATGGTTTCTGTGAAAATGAAATAAGGTAACAAATAAAAATTTAAATATAACTAGTTTTTTATAGTCTGAATTCCCGAGATAGTTATTTAAAGTGCATGTGATGTATTTTAATCAGTAATTATATTTGCACAACTAATTTATTTATAAAGAAATTTATTTAGCATAATCTTTTATAATGAGTTCTTTAAAAATAGATGAAACATAGTATTTTTGATATAATAAATGTACAGAAATTTTACGCTGCTAAGTGATTGACACATCTATTATAAATAACGGAATTTAAATTCCATGATCTACAATCAGCAACGCAAATCTAAAATGATAAAACGGTAAATCCAAAATAACTAAGATCCGTAATATGGGAGGGTTTCTAGGAAAATCAGGTTCCGAGAAATTTTTGACTTAAATTAAGAGCTTAATACATTTTAATCTAATAATATCAAAAACTAAAATGCAATAAAAATCTCAATTTTGTTAAAAAATTCCCGGAACCTGATTTTCCTAGCAATCAACCCATATGTTACACGCATTTCTACGCTGTAGCTCTCCGATCACATTCTCATGTAAGTTTACACGAATTTACATATTTTCTGTTATATCCAGCAACGCCTTCCTAGACGAGTTATGATCTCTCTCATAAAATTGTTTAACTTTAGCACTAAACTTTTCTAACCACTTCTTTTCATCAGTTATTTTCCACTTACTCGCATCCTTAACAGACGAAACAAGTAGTTTTAGCTCTCCCTTCAACTTATCTATTAACTCTGAAAACGTCATTTTCTTTCCAAACTTGATGATTCCAATGATTTGACACAATCCGTCGTAGTCCTGAATAATTGGTTGACATGGATCGGAGTGAAGTTGCAGGGCCAAAAATCAATAAGATAGAAATGGCCATTTCTCTGTATAACATTTCGTATGGCAACATCTCCATGTGTGTAACCACGGGCATGTATCTTCTTCACGCACGATAATACTGTAGATCCAGAATTATTTGAAAAATTGTGTAATCATCTATTATAACTACCAGAAATCCATGATTACAGGGGTTACCCTGCAAAATCAGTTATTAAAGCCAGGGATCCTTTCAGAAAAAATTGATGGCTTATTCCTATACATATAAGTTTCATCGTTTATTTTGAGATTCTTTTTTTTCGCCAGAAGCTTTCATCGACAGGTCATTCAATAACGAACAATTATGCCGGCGATAAGTGAGGCCGCTTTTTCATTCCATTCATTAATGCAACTTTCCTCGAACTTCACTTTTAGGTTATTAAAATCATTTAATACAAATTGGATTCTCATATTTTTCCTGGCATACAGTGCGCGAAAAAAGTAATCGGAATTATGTTTTATTTATTAATAATTCAAAAATACATGAAAATTTAAAATTACAATCCTTATTACGTGACGAAAAATAAATCTAAGCTAAGTAAATAATAGCTTATCACAGTTACGCTCAATTACTTGTTTTAATATTATTGGCATGCTACGAGTCAAATTAAGTAGAATTTCAGGTTCGATTTCTTCCCACTCTTTTTTATAATAATGTCTACAGTAATTTGATTTTTTTTAACTATCAATTTGTAAACCTCCATTTCCACACGTTACTTCATAAAGTTTTGATATGGTTGAGATCTGGACTATTTGATGGTCAATCCAATCCACTAACCATGGACACCGCTCATGAAGTTTTTAGGTTTTCCTACTTTGATATAAAATTGATCGACAAAAAATAAAGCCAAATAAATAATTTTCATTTTCATAAATGGATTAATTTTATATTGCAGAAGTTTTTATATTGAATTTTATTCCGGTGCACTGTATTTTACTAGTTGACCTTTCCCATCGCTTAATTTTGAACCATCATTTAAATTATTCTTGACTTCCCAAACCAAAACCCTTTGATAAATCAGGGTATTCTGTCAATCCTTTGTAGAATTCGGCCCGGCCAACCTTCTCGATTTCCCAAAGTCGGACATCTCCATGTGCTATCACAAATCTGTACACAGAGGCAGAATTTCTTGTCTTGGGTAACTCTGCCAGGAATAACCGATAACTCAAATCATTAATTATCTTTCTGAATAAAATGGAAATAGTGATGCACACGTTAAAAAGTAACGGCGAAAAAGCAGTACGTTCACTCGCGTTATCTAATTTATTAGTTGCAGGAGAGGTGAAGGTGGAGGGAGTAATAGAGTAATTGGTCATGTTTTGTGCAAATAATGGTTTCACAGGTTGTCCGAAAAAGAAAGAGATTTTTTACAGAACTGAACCGGAAGATTGATATATACTAGGAAAACGGAAACCGTTGAAGTCCGTCGCGTTATTTAATTTTGATTGATTTTTCTTTAAATTTTTGTCTCACAAAAATCTGGTACAAAAAAAAAAATATAGATTATCAGTAAAAAGTGATACATAATAAAAAAAAGGAATCAGAGGATAATTAATGAGGTGACGTCAGCGGATGGAAAGAAGGAAATTTTCATGGGTTACCACAAAATCGTTAAGCTACGCTCCGGACAATAAGAAATCAACCAACCGTCACCATAGATCAATCTGGTGATTAGTTAATCAGTTATTCAATTGGCTTTTGTGACCAGTAAAGTTTCTAGAAGCAATATACGCAGTCTATAAAACATGATTAAAAAAATAAAGCCTATAGATCGAAATCTCTGGCTCACTTGCATTACGTTTTAATAATTCTAAAATTAAATACAGCAATAAAATTAATGTTAAAGAAGCTATGGAATACATTGTACAGGCTTAGAATTCAGTAAAAGCAGAAACAATTATTAATTGTTAGCGAAAAATAGAAATTTTACCAATTATTAATAATGATGATGATATTCAATAAGCTTTAGTTGTATAGGAAAGGGCAGGTCAAAAAGATCAAGAGGGAATTGAATTTCTTTTACATCAAGTTTTATCTATTAAAACTATTTCAAATAAGTCCTTAGGAAAAATGAATCAGTATTTAGAGATTATATATTTAACAGTTCCAACAGAACAATCATTGACTGATACTGAAATTATACAATTAATTTTGGATGAAGAGTACAAGAAAGTTGAATTAAATGATAATGAATCTGATGAAAAACATTCAGTAATATCAATACAAGAAGGTCTTAATAGTCTTAAAACATGGATGCAATATTTTGAAGAGTAGGAAAGTGAGGAATTTGATATAAAAGAAATAAAAATTTTTAGAAAATATAAGGGAATTATGCAGCAAAAATTCATTGAAATTAAAACACAAAAAGATATTACAAATTTTTTTATGCCAACTAATATGTAATATTTTGTGTTAATAATACAAATAAATTTTTATATTTAAATCAATAATAAAACTTTATTGTTAATTTTATTTTGTGATAATATACTAAAATCTCTATATAGTCACAATTTATATAATTTTTATAAGGATTGACTATATAGAGAGATTCTTTACATAGTTACATTTAAATATAAGCATATCAAAAGTATGTGTCCAACTGCATAACTATATAGAGGTATGATTGTATTTAAAGCAAATGTAAAAGATATTTTATAGGATTTAGATATTAAATCATTACTTAATTTAAATAATTATAATTAGAAAAATGTTTTATAGTATTTGAAGTCAAAGTAATTACAAAATTATTATAAAATAAAAGTTATATAATAATTTATAATACTATAATTAAGTTGATAATTATTTGAAAGATTCAATTAATACTAATATAAAAACTTAGTTTAAACTTATAAATTTTATTGTAGCATGTAATATGATTTTTATAAATAAACTTATAAAAAATTTATACCATTAAAATATATTATACCAATGTTTATCCTTTTAATTTTTTAAGCAACTAATAAATGTCAGGTTATAATTTCAATTGGCTCTATCAACTTTATAACTTCTTGTAAAAAACTATTAATTTAAATATTTACTCTTTTTTTATAATTGATAAACAAAGACATTCTAATTTGAAAATTTACTACAATATATTAAATAATAATTATGCAATAAATGCTTTTTAATTTGTATAATTTATATTTAACTTTATAAATAATTTTTTTTACAAAAGTTTTCAAACCTATATCAAACTTCTGATGAATCTCTTTTCATTATTTATTATTATAAATTTTTTTATGTAACTTTATTTTATAATTTTTATAAAAATTTTTTAATAATTTATAATAAAAATAATATATTTTAAACAATCTAATTAAAAATAAAATTTTATTATAAAGATATATAACTTTTAATACATAATTTATTTTAAAAATTCTTTAAATTTATTCAATAAAATTCTATATAAATATTTAAAGATTATAATTATTACATAATTAACTTCTATTACAGATAATAGTATTTCTATTAAGAATATAAAAATACTATTAACCTTAACACCTTTTAAAGATACTTATACTTAAGGTTAAAAATTTATATATATTAGGTAACTTTTGACCCTATATTTGTATTATATTTTACTAAATTTTATATTAATTATTATGTATACTAACTGTACTTAACTATACTAGATTATACTAACTATACTAATTATCTAACTTTATCTATATTATATTAATAACTGAATATATAAAAAGAATTTTAATTAATAATAATTTATATTTACAAATATATTTTAGACTTAGTGATAAAGCTGATAAAAATCTAAATTTTAATATGATAATATATGATAAAAATCTTCTTTCTTTGATTAATCCTTCATAAAGATAAATTATAATAAATAAATAGTAATGAATAATTTTTTCAAAATTTTTAATATTACTAATTATTATGATTAAGTGATAACTCATATTTTATTAATCTAAAAAATGATTTTGAATCAATTATTATTTGACTTTAAGATATTTTACAACTTACATTAGGAAATTTTGAAGACATCAACCTACACCAATATATGTGTTAATCAATACTAACCCATAGTTTAACACAATACATAATATTACATAACGCTGTATACTAAAGTTTATCAACACATATCATTGTTATACATGTTTTTCAACACTATCAGTTGTTTATCACATTGTATACTATTGTGCAATGGCATATACAAACACATACTGTAACTTGTCAAAAAATTAAAAATTTAAATTTAAACTTTATTTTCACAAATTAAAACATGTATACATTTACAAAATATTCATTTGGTCATTCAACACGTTAAATTATATGCACTAATTCAATGATTAACTCTACAGGTATAACGTTATATGTATTTGTAATCTGCAATAAGAGGCAATCGTATTTGTATAAATATCTTAGATCATATTTATAACAAAAATTATACTATCGTACAAGGCAAGGTCAAAAGATAAATAATCTTCCATTTCAACATTAATTAACATAAAAACCTAAATACATAAAATACATTGATAATTGACATTATTGTTAATATAAAATTACTAGTATTATCAACTGTATCTTACCAAAATATGAACCTTCATCCGTATTATAGTCTTCAGTTTCTTCTTTGCTCATATTGATCGATACATCACTAAATAACAGTTCATTGTAATATTTGCTTTTTACTCTAATATAATCTCCACTAGGAATAGCATTAGTATAACTATACCAGCTAATTTTATAATTAATTGCATCAGTTAAGCCTTCGCACAAATCAAAAAATTTGTTTAACGCTAGTAAAAAGTGTTCAAAAGCCATTAAAGCTTCATCGGCCAAATCATTAATTAACTTGTAATTATTAAAAATTCGTCAAAATATTTTAAAAAAACGTGTCTAAAAGGTTATTTATTGTAATTTTTTATTAGTGTCAGTTAACAGCTATATGTTAATGTGACAAGTATTTAACTATCAAGTTACAATAAACCTATAAAAAATAATAGCAATTTAACATATATAATCGTTAAAACAATAAGTAAAATAGATACTAATTATTTTAATCATTTGATCTATTACATTACACTTGTTACTGGCTTTATATAGTTTTTTAATAAAATCTTTATGCAAAGATTCGTATATTTCCATTGTAAAACTGTTAATCGTCCTATGTTCTTTAATTGCTGTAATAATATAATAACACCAGTTGTATAGCTTTAGTAATCGAAGTTCTAATGGAAAATATGATTTAAAGAGTTTTACAAATGATGTTGTCTAACTTGTAATTAATTCCTACAAATACAATTAATTCATTACATTAATAATTAAACTTTAGTACCATAACTTTAAAAACTCATTAATCTATCATATCTCAAAAATATACAACTCTGATTTCAAAAAATGTTCCTGTCGACTGTATAAGTACATCTTATTTTAGCTATAGTATACGCTAACTAATAGTTTATCAGCCTTTTTAGCTTAATTTTTGCTTACCGATTTTTTATGCTGCTTTTGATTAATCCTTCAATGATGAAAAGAAACACCTTTATCATATTCTGAAAATCATCTGCCATAAACTGCTTAATATTTTTCAACCCATTTTTAAATAACTTGAGTCTAGAAAATCTTAAAATTTCAGCTAGGTGATTATCAAATTTGTCAACTGCTACTTTACCATAGTAATTCATTAGCAATTCTCTTGTATAATTCACTTGGTAATTAAACAAGCCCAAGTCAAAATGATACATATAGTCAGGAATTATTGCTGAATAAATGTTTAAATAATTAAGTAAATAAATATTATTAAGAAATCATCATAATTAATTCTTTTTATTGATTATGTGATATGTATGGGTATTTTTAGAAGATGTTTTTCATATTATATAAAGAGTATTATTGTGCAAAATCTTATTCAACAATACTCTTCATACCTTCTGGTGTTTTCAGAATAATTCGTTCATTTTTCAATTTTATATTATTCAGGTTTTCACTTCTATTAAACACTGATGATGATACAGGTATTTACAATTGACAGAATTATACGTTAGAGTTACCGTAGCATTTTCTGGAAGATCTTCTAGCATCACAGAAATAAACAGATAATACCATAGTAATTCATTGTTATCCATTTTAAGGTCAATCCCATTAGCTTTATAATTAAATATCAGGTATGTTAATATACTTAAAGCATATTGATAAAAAACACATTTAGCCAATTGAAAGCCCTTAGATTTTTTTTCAAAGTTGGTTTTTGCCTTCAATTGCAGAAGATATCCCAAAAGAACTTTTATATTAGATTTATTTCTAATCTAGCTAGGTATATTTCCCAAGGTTAAATAAATGGGATGTTGGTTAGTTTTGT